TGATGTTCTAATTAAGGACAAAACTAGTTAATAAGTGACCAGTCTGCTGTCACCAATCTGCTTTTCTTCCCTGCACCCCCTGGTAACATCTTGTTGAAGCAGATGAGTGGTGTGATACCATCACGTTCAATGAACCCTTGCCATGTAGTTGGCTGCTGCACATGGCAAAACCCTGACTGTTATAATGCCACAAGTGGGTCCTTCATGGATCCTTGAAGCATGTGGAGTGCTCCCTCTTCAGCACCTCAGTTACTTAGGGATGGGTAGACTTGTACATTTCTCTCAGTTTCTCATTTTCCCAGTCTTAAGTACAGCTCTTTCTTTTAAGCCTGTGAAAGTTCATCAGTCTTTTACTGCAAATTTATCCTAATATACACACCTGTAAGCAATTTTGCCTAATATATACATTTTTTGCAGAGCAATGTTCCTTAATGGAATGCATTCCTGTATGTCATTTTCACCAGCCCATGCATTTTTATGCACACTTAGCATGTGCCTTTTTGTACATACTACTTTGCTGAAAAGCTGCATTGGAAAATTTGGAGAAATGGGATTTTTACACGATGTTTGTGTTTCATTTTTCATATTGTTTCAGAAAGTGAGGATTAGGCAGAGTCACCATTATATCCCATCCGTAGTCACTCCATTCCATTCAGTTTCCCACCATGCCCACTATCAGTCAGAATTCTGTGACTTGAGAGCAAACCTCAAGCCCCCTCCTCCAACACTGCTGATATTTTGGCTCCATAAGCGACAGCACTCACATCCTGAACTTCAGAAATAAAGAGAATGATGTCCCAGCTCCAGCTTGGAGATACGGGTGCAGATGGTGACAACTGGGTGTTGCAGGTGAGGCAAAAGATGAACTATCACTCTGTGATAACAAAGATGCATTGCATGTAGAAGATCCTAGATCCAGTTCTTGGTTTCTCTAACTTCAAAAAGCACCATGTAGTAGTTGCTTGTGAAAGACTTCCGTCTATATTCCTGGAGACTTATTGTCCCCAAAATAGTCTGACCTGATATTAGGCAGCTCCTGCCATTCCTGTGTCTTCTTTGCCTCTCACTAACTGATTCTGGGCTGAATCTTCCACACTGATCAGCCTGAGCTTCCCCAGGGATACAGCCACATGGAAGAAACAAATTGGACCCAGGGCATCCTTGGTTACAGCTGCTGCTTCCCAGTAGCAATTTGGGGGACTGTTGTGGCTCGTTTTTCAGCTTGTTGCACTTGCACAAAGGATATTTGCATTTTCCCAGTCAGTCAGTCAGTCCATCTGTCTGTCCATCCGTCTGGCTGGCTGTTGCAGAGTAGAACAACATTATGACAATTGTAACAGCACATTCTATGTGGACTACTTCTTCTCTACCATGGAGCAGCTAGTTTAGCAAATTTGGCATGCTGAAACGATATCCATATAAACAGTTGTGAAGGGTTCCCAACCCTCCTGCAAGATGGTCTCATCCCATCTGCCTTGCTCATAGGCAGGGTGGGTTCCAGGTGTGAGGGGACCCTAGGCAATGAGTCCTCTGGTGTATCTCCTCCTCCTCCACTGGTGAGTCCTGGTGATCAGTGTTCGAAAGAGCATTAAGCTTTGGGGTCTAGTTGCTATTACACAATGCCCCTGGATGCAGTACATTGTGGGAAATTAAAAAGGCAGCTACACTCAGGCACCTGTGTCTCTGATCAGTGCACCAGAAAAAAGTGCAATGGGGAACCCTAGGTAGATATTAATGGTGGGTCTTTCTGAGGAACTGCTCAAGGGTACCAGTCTCTAGTGCTGGCCATGTTTATAGGATTCACTGCCACTGAACTGGTGCAAGCTATTTTTTTGGTCATATTCTTATGTTTTGGATAAAGGCTGCTGCTGTATGTTCAGAATACAGTTGAGTGCTGAATTGAGACTTGATCTGCTCTTGCACAATGCCAACTGTGAAGGGCTAGCATATTTCGTCTGAAGTCAGCAGGCTATCAAGTCTCGACTGCGGGAGGCTTTGCAGTGCAGAACTCACTTCCCTCTGTTGTAGGCCTTATTTAATCTATCCCCAGTGTATTCTTTGCTTTAAAAGGGGAAGTCTTCTGGTTTCATGCAAGGATCTTTTGCTTGTATGTGGTGTACATCCATGTGTGTGTGTGTGTATGTGCGTGTGCATGATTCTTACCCTATTCCCCAACCCCTCCACCAGCCAACTAGTGGGTGCATGTGGGTATGAGTATGTGGGTGAGGCAAAGGGACCCCATCAATCTGCTTCATCCATTTAATCACCTATGTGCTTTATTGCTTTCAATGCATACTATAGCTCAGATGATTGGGGGAATTAAACCCACAAGTGGGGAATTAAACCCACAAGGTGGACCCTCTGATTAACTCTCATTATAGTCACATTATAATCCCCAAGGATTCTAATACAATAGCTAAGGATTCAGAATCCCAAGTAAGGGAGTTGGGGCCCTGTAATCTGAACACTGGGTTCATTTATGTTCATGTATGTGATTGGCATGCATGTTACTTGTGTGAGCACACACACGGCATGGTTCTTTCCCTCAGAGAAGCCTCTTGTGAAGAAGCACCCTGCAGAATTGACCCGCCCCCTCATCTAGGAAAGGAGACACACATGTTTAATTAGGATCCTCCCTAATTAAACATTAGCCCCACCCCAAATTAATTTGGGACTAGTTCTGAGATATGGTGGGTGACCCCCCCCTGGTTGGTGCAGGGTGGGTTGGCCTGATGGGGGGAACTCAGCTCAGAGCCATGGGGCAAATCTGGGGGGGGGGGTGTGCGCAGCCCTGCTGGAAGACAATCAAACTGGCCCAGAAAAAGGCGGCTATGTGCAGATGTCAGCACACAGTATAACAGTTTGGTTGATGATTTCATGGAGTTCCCAGGTCACAGTCCAATTCATATTTACTATGCTACTGCAAAGTGGCTGAAAATGAGTTTGAGCAATAAGGTTTTAAATATTAACACAGAAGCCAACGCTCCATCAGGTCAGGCATTGTGCAGCAAAGTTCCATCAAGTCAGAATTTGCTTTAAAGAGACATACGGTGTCCTTCTCGCCAAAGTAATGTGACATGGAGACCCTTATCCTAATGCTATCCCTCAGCTTCCTAGGAAGTGGGAATTTTATAGAATGGCTGTGTTCCAGTTAGCATATAGTTTCAGAAATTGGTAGCTTTGCCTTTGAATGCAAACTGGATTTGAATTCTCTCCTGTCCTAGTTGTAGAGAAGCTACTCCAATTCCCTTATCATTTTGGTTGCCCTTAATTTGCACCCTATCCAATTCTACAGAGTTCTTTACTACACCCTATCCTATACTTCACCATTCACCAGTGTATCTTATTTTCATATATGTTTTAAAATCAACAAAAATGGTTTGTTTTTTAAGCACAGTGTGGGGCTTGTATTCGAAGGGTGAAAGTGGTTGATTAGGATCAGGCCGTCTAAAGGGTCATGCAAAAAATGAAACACTAATAAAAAAAACCAAAAACCCCACCAGTCATCTGACAAATGGTTTACTGCTGTAACTGATATGGTGATTTTGTCTAATCTTATATATCTGACATGAGTTTTCTTGCCTTAGCAAAGAAATAATTTGCTCTTTCAACAGTCCTGTTTATCATGAATTAAGAAAAGAAAGAGGGGGAAGGAAAGGAAACAAGAAAAAAAAGATGAAATTTAATATTTATTGCTACACTTTGTTTCCCTTTGGGAAATTTCAGAGAAAATGATCTCCCCTTTATTTTTGTCTATTTACTGAAGGCTGCTACATATGGGACATTTTCTATACTATGAGAAAAAAATGGCTCATGTGATTCCATTATAAGATATGAACCATTTTATTTGGATAACTGTTTCTATGGTAGTTGCTTCCTTTGGAGGATTTTGGTCAGCTTTTTATTTTATGACCCTGTTTTAATATATCTTGCTTTTCTCTCCACACTGGGTATGAGCATCTAAAACTTTACAGGGTTGCAGATCCAGACAAATGTAGTTCTACATTTGTTCGTATATTGGTAAAGGGAACTGGAGCACATAATTATATTGTTAAGAGCTGGAAGCATCAAATCTTAGAACTGTAGAATTTGAAGGGATCCCTAGGGTCATCTAGCCCAGCCTCCTGCAACGAATCTCAGCTAAAGCATCCATGATAGGTGGCCATCCAACCTCTGCTTAAAAATCCCCATTGAAGGAGCAATGAAGGAGGTCTTCTAACAACTCATAGCACTCTTAACAAGTTACAGTTCCCAGTCCATGAGGTGAGGTGAGGTGAGTCGAGGTGAGGCAGCTGCCTTGGGCAGCAGAGACCCAAGAGGTGGCACCTCCAGCAACAATGACAGCTTCCAGCATTATCTTGCTGGATGTTGCTGCCACTTTGCTGGCTGCTTTTGATTCTCTGTATACTTTGATGGAAGCTATGACTGTTGAAGTGGTATGATACTGTGTTAAATGTATAGCGCAGATGGTGCCTTGTTTGTATAGGATAGCAGACCTAACTGGATTAGCCAAAATGCTATGAAGGCTTTATGCTGCACAATAGCTTTCAAAAATATGAAAACCAACAGCTCAAAATTGAGGAGCCAGTCATTGTGTGTTCCATCTTAAGTGCAACCTGCATAGTATACAATTGAACCTAATATGGTTAAGTCTGGTTTCCTCCTACTTAAGACTATGCCTTAAGACAGTCTTTGAGGCTCAGCATCCAGCCAGTTTCCCCTTCTTCCCCTCCCATTTCTTAACTTTGAGCCTGATGAAGAATTCTGGGGAAATCAAAAACTTGCTCACTATCTTATGTCATTTGGATGGGGGCATAATAACAGTATTGCTCAAGTGTGGCTTTTGGAATTTATCTGATGCAAAAAGCTTCATTCATTTCTTGGTTTAAGCTGGTATATCTATTGCAGTGCCACAACCTGGCCTCTTGAATGGTGAAAGGATAGACAGTGCGTGTAGGAAGAACATTAGTAAAGTAATGATTTCTTTTTCTCCTTACTAGGTAACTAGCTCTGAGGAACAGGCAAGGAAGGCCCAAGGAAGTTTGCTGTTCAATAAAGGATGCTGGGTTGCTTGGCAACCAATCGTTAGGCCCAATGGTGCAACCAGCCAGCCAGGCATTCCAAACTGGCTGCTTCCATCGTCTTACGTCCTAACACAGGTGTTTCTCCTCGGCTGATTTTACTGCCTTTTTGTAACCCCTGGGGTCATGCATCCAGAAAGTCCTGGGCAGGAATTACAGCCGTATATAACTCCAAACTTTTGCCCCCTTTCCTAGAATGACTATTAAGGTATTTTGTCCACAAAACGGAATGGTCTTTTGTATATTGAAAATGTGATTCTCATTCCCGGTTACACATGAATGCCCTTATACCGCCAAGGTTTGTCAGCAAGAACAAATATAAAACATATAAGGATGCTGAAAGTGTATTTTCAAGTTCAGGTGGAGCTCACTTCAACGCTTGGAAGTTTGTTGTGATGAGCATCACAAATGAATACCATATTGGACTAAGTAAAAACAACATGCCCAGTGTAGATGAGAAGACAGGGCAGGTTATTTGCCCACCAGTGAAAGGTCAGAAGTACTTCTGAAGAGCATTCACGTATTTTTCACATTTTCTTTCTCTTTCTCCAATGAGTTGAGGACAATGAGCATGGGGTTGTTTACATTTTTATCCTCACAGCAGCCCTGTGAAGTAAATGTATATGCTGCAAACTGCATTTTTCTGGATGATATTATATGGTTTTATTATTATATCATATGCTGATGAGTGGGATATTACACATGAGCAACATGTGTTTTTAATTATCTTTTGAATGTTTCTAAACATCTGTTTTTGACCTTTTATTTATGCTTCCAGTGTTGTTTGTAAATTGCTTAGAGGGCTTATGACAATCAATTGATATATACATTTTGTATTATTATTATTATTATTATTATTATTATTATTATTATTATTAAGATGTGATTGTTGCAGCCTGCAAATGCAACAATCATTCTGCCAGTGGGAACCCCTTTCCTAATATAGCAAGTCCACTAAGTGGCTTGGGGTGACAAAAGTGTTACAGTGTTGACCTATTGTATATTTTTTCTACTTTTACAAGACCTGCACCTATTTTTCTGCTTGCACAATTAGAATAGCTTGAGCAACAATACCAGCCTATCCCGGTTCTTGTGCTGATGCTACATTGGATCTCACCCATCATCATTATTATTAAGCTGAGAGAGAGCACCATGACGCAGGTGGCTATGGAGCAGGTACTTGCCATCATTTTTTATTTCTGATATGCATTTGATCTTTTCCCAAGAACCTCAGGATGATGTATACAGAGAGTTTCTTCCCCTTTCTTATCCTCAGAAAACTCTGTGAGGTAGGGACTATGGCTAGCCAAAGGTCACACATTGAGACAAAACTGCAGCTGAGATGTCAAATGAAATTTTGGTTGTCGTATCAAAACACGGCAAGGATTCAAAAAACAAAACACCAAACCAAGTATTTAATGCCAATTCAAAAAATTTAACTTGAAGGGGCATTTAAAATAAAACCTAAAAATTAATTCGGGGTGATAAAAAGTAGCTTGTAAGTCCAGTAATTTATAAGCATGTTGTCCACTGAAAACAACCCATAACAGCCTCTAAATTCTAAAGCATCTTTAGAAGAAACAGTGGTACAAAATTCAAAGTTCTGTGCAATGGAAGGGCCTTTTCAGTTGTGGCTCTTAAGATGTGGAACTCCCTCCCTTCTGAGGTGTATCTTGTCCATCTCTTTATAGTTTCAGCAAATCAGGAGAGACCTGATTCTACAAATGGACTACTGGCTGCTCCTATTAATAATAATTGCTATTTAGTGATTGGTACAAGCTGTTGTTTTTAAGGACTGGGTTACTTTCTGTGCTTTTATTTGATTATCCTGTAAACTGTGGTTTGTGGAAAGGGTGGTATATACACCATCTTAATAAGAAATAAAGACCCTATAAAACCAGACACTCCTTGCAGTATTTTCCCTTCCAATTGGTTCTGGCTCTGATTTGCATCTTTCTGCCATGTCATTTTCCATGCGTCATCAAAAGCAGCAGCATTTACAGAGCACACACACACACAGAGAGAGAGAGAGAGATAGAGAGAGATGGGCTTCCATGGGCAAATTTGTTTAAGCTCAGGAACTGTTGTGGTTTTCCAATGGTATGATGGGCAAGAGACCACCAGAAAGGAAACAATGTTTCAGAATGAGAAGCCTGATGACAGGGGGGGGGTCTCTTTCTGCCTTTCTCAGTGGTTATGCCAGAGCAGTTTAAATGAGCAAGTGATGAGTGCATTTGTTTTTAGAAACTTGAGGCCAGCTTTGGCAAACAGCTTATTCTAGTTGCTAGACGTTGTTCCTCTCAGCACTGATGATACCAATATGTGAGCAATTGGAGCCATCTCCCCCTCTCTCAGGACAAAAGGTATTTAGATTTCCTGCTGACTTTTCAGCAACTTCAGAAGCAATTATCTAAAATACTTGGGACTAGCGACATGTCAATCCCAGCATGTGGTGTTGCTTAATACAAAGCATCCCATGCATTTCATTGAAATACATGGGACTTAGCATGTATTGGATGCAAAACTGGATGCAAGACTGCTTTTTTTGCACCCTTCCCCGCCACAAAAAAATAGAGAAATTGGGAGCTGGAGTGATCCGCCTGAAGTGAAGGTCTCATTGCTCTCCCAGCTTCTCAAAACAATGGGTCACTGGCCCTTATGCAGAAAGATACAGGGAAGGAAAGGTGTGGGGAGCTCAGTGCATCATGTTGTGGTGGAGTCAACCACACCAAAGCTCCCTTCCCTTTGTGTCTCCCCACTCCCTTTGGTAAATACCAGTGACCAGCTGCACTGGAATGTTGGGAGAGTAATTGTGCCCCATCTGCCCCACCTCACTGACTGCTACCGATGACATCTCTAAGTAGGGTTGGGAAAGCCATTCCATCAAGCTGCCTCAGTGGAAGAACTGTGAAGAGCTCTGGCTCACTCCATCAGAGTCTTCAAAGCATTCTAAAACCCTTCAGCATAATAACATGGTGCAGGCTTGGTGGGAGGGAATTTCCTAAGTGTGGAGTCACCACAAAGAAGGACCTCATTCTCATGACCACCCACCTGACTCATCTTTGAAGGCAGCCCCACATAGAGCTTTTTGCAGTAGTCTAGTCTGGATATGATTAGATCAGGGATCACTGAGGCAAGGTCAACCCCCACCAGGAAGGCACATGTACCAGCTGAAACTGGTAAAAAAGCACTTCTGGACATTGACTCTGCTGGGCTTCCCCAGGACACGTATCTTAAGATAAGTGAGCTTAAAAGGAGTTCATGGAAGGATAATTTCTTAAACCCTCTTCCCACCTGCCACAAACCTCTCCTAAAACATATCCCACCTGTTGAAAACACTGCTGAATAATGATGGATTATGCACAAGGGGCTGGTGCAGCAGGGGGAAGTCTGCTGAATTTTGGGTGATCCTCCCCTACCTCAGCAGCTCCTCACAGGCCATCCTATATGGTCCAGGAGGGCCTCCTGAGCATCCCGATGAAGTTTTGTTTGGGGGCATATGTGCAGATGGCTGATGTGTGAGCGAACAGAAGACTTTCCTTCTGTCAGCTTATTTAAGTTTACATTGCAGGTTCCAACCCAATGTGTGCACAGTAGGGCAAGGAATACAAAGAAAAGGAACTCCAAATCCACGCCAAATCCAGAGGATAGCAGTCCCTTTATTAGAATTAAGAATGCCACAAAATTTCAACAGCGCTTTTGAGATCTTTAGAATTCTTCCTGAGGTTGTAGGTTAAGCAAAACTTGTGTGTAGAGGGACCTGACTTAGTGTTAAAGCCATGAAGTCAGTCTTAAAACTGAGTGTTAGAAATGGCTGATTCCTCATATTTGAGAATATAATATGCGGTGGTTGTTGGATCTGTTGCAGATAACTTCTTAAATTTGCTATCTTTCAGCCACTTCACTCTTTTAAATTACACCTGTAAAACAACAAAACAAGTGTGTCAAAATGTCTTTAAAAATTAGAAGAATGATTCAGGGGAAACGTGTGTAATTTCAAAAGAAGTAACTCAGTGAAGCATTTCCTTGGATATGTTCAAATTTCTTGCAGAATCAGTGGATAACTCCTTAAGAGATGCCTTTGATTTCAAAGAGCAAAGCTATTTTCATGAGGCAGAGATGTGCACTGGTTTAGGTCTACCAGTCAAAGTCAGAGGTTGTGATGAGAATTGTTCATAACAGGTAGAAGCTGATGATTAGAATCATTCATATCGGCCTCATCAGTAAGATGACGATTGCCCCACTTATATTCCCTGGGTGCATAGTAAATCAATCACTAGCATCTCACTGTCCGCAAAAACTGCATTTTCCTTCTGTCATTTCATGGATGACATGATGTGCCAATCTTCTGTTCTCTGATGAGGGTTAGGAATGGACAGATTAGTCAATTTCCAGTCTAGCATGCCTTCATTCATAAATCCATTCCTTCCTATTTCTGCATTAATCTGTAAAAAAAAGTGCATGAAAAAAATCGTATTTCAAAATGTGTTTTTCATTCCAGACACACGTTTTCAAATGTGTATTCTTTCAAAGTACACTTATGTAAATATACATTACTTTAAAATGCAAATTTTTATATGCATTCTGGTCCAATTTTTGTAGAGCCACAAATTGCATGGCAAAATTCAGGGAAGTGCAAAAAATCCAAATGATACCTGCATTTTGATCTACATGTTAGACTAGGAGTTGTAGATCAGGTAAATTTACACTAAAATTTGAAAAAACAACAACCAAACAGTTCTTCAAACACAGCTTCTTGAAGGAGAAATGAACGTATTATAGCAGTGAGAATGCCAATCTTTTTGTTTTACAGGGTCACCAAACAGGGGTCTTAAATGTAGAGATTGAGATTTTTCAAAGGGCTCCCTCTATTGACAATCACTACAATTTGCACCTCACAGAAGTCAAATCTAAGCATTAAAAAAAAAAAAAAAAGCCCCAAGTGTAATTGGGATGGTATTGGTCCATGTTTGTAGTTTAGCAGTGATATCCATAGACTAGATTTCCACAGATAATCATGTGACATGGCCTTCCTGAAGATGTACCTTTTCAGAATGCAGGCCTGCAGCACAATGGCAGAAACCCTGAAGAGCTACTGCCAGTCAGTGCAGACAATACTGAGATAGATGGACCAAATGCTTCACGCCACCCCTTTGAGCATTCCTTTCGAGAACTCAGCCTCCTTGCACTCTGAGAGTTTTCAGGTTATTTGACAGGTACTCCCAAAAGGTCCCACTGATTTTCAGGGCTAGCACCAGACTGCCAGTTCCTAGATGAAACTGGGCCAGTATTCTCAGGGTAATAGCCAGGTTTGGGCTAAGGTTGTATTGTACCACTTGGAGGATGGGTGAAAGAATGCGGCCCTCTGGGCCTTTCTGCCCGGGCCTTGGAACCCTTCCACAAACTCTCTCCTTAGGACATCAGCTTTGCTCGCAAGTCTCCTCTGGTGCTTCAGCCTGGCTGAAATGTGTCTTTGAACTGCAACAATGCCTCCTGCACGTCAGGATGGAGAATAGGTAGGAGTGTGTGGAAACTAGCGTACTGTACAAATGTAACATTTACATGTTGCTTCAGCCAGTTTTGCCTCTGCCCTCACCCACCACTTGCCCTTGGGATGGTTGTCCAGATGGGAATGTGTCCCTCAGGCTGAAAAAGCTTTCCCCGTTCCCAAGATTGTAGTCCATGTTTTTTCTTTTAACCACTCTTCCATTTTAACAGTCCTAGCAGCTAACCTCACAATCTCAGGTTCTGCAAATGCTAGAAACTTACTCTTTCTTTTTGTAAATGAAAGCTGGGGATATAGCAATTATGCTTCATGCAGGAGGGGGTGGGACTGTGTCCTTTGCCTCTTGCCCCTATATTAAAGGTAAAGGTAAAGGAACCCCTGACCATTAGGTCCAGTCGTGGCCGACTCTGGGGTTGCGGCGCTCATCTCGCTTTATTGGCCGAGGGAGCCGGCATACAGCTTCCGGGTCATGTGGCCAGCATGACTAAGCCGTTTCTGGCAAACCAGAGCAGCACACGGAAATGCCATTTACCTTCCCGCCGGAGCGGTACCTATTTATCTACTTGCACTTTGACGTGCTTTCGAACTGCTAGGTTGGCAGGAGCAGGGACCGAGCAACGGGAGCTCACCCCGTCGTGGGGATCTGAACCGCCGACCTTCTGATCGGCAAGTCCTAGGCTCTGTGGTTTAACACACAGCGCCACCCGTGTCCCTTGCCCCTATATTACTTTACATTTATTTATTTATTCACTGCCTTTCCATACACGCTTAAGGTGTTTTACATCAAACTGGTGGAAAAATGCCAGACAAACAAAACAAAACAACATAAACATAAACAATTAGCCTACACTCTTTTCAGCAGTCAAAATACAAATTCAGAATAAGGCAGATTCATATGCCCATGCATGGAAATATAAAGGGTGGGGATAAAATTAAAGTAGTTATGATGCAGCCCAAGGATCAGTTAACAGCTGTTCCCACCCTGCCTTAGAAACCCCAAACCCTGGTGACCCAGCTGTTCCAACCCTGCAGTCTCCAGTATGTGGTGCTCCTTGGACTTCTGCAAATCCCTTCCCAATCCCTGGTATTACCCTGTGCTTCCTGGGAGAAAGTGTGGGAGAAAATTGTAATGAGAATATATATATATATATATATATATATATATATGCGCGTGCACACACATTTGTGGCAAAGGTCTCTTGCCTCATCCCCCGCATTCAAGAGTTCAATGTTACTGTATAGAAGCAAGAACAATCCCCCCCTCCAAAAAATATGAAAAATAAAAATAAAAATGTGATGTTCTTGTTAAAAGGACACAGCAGGGGGAAAGTAACTGCTCTAAACAGACAATGTAAAGGAGGAGAAAATAGCTCCCATGGACACATTTGGATTGTTG